TAAGTAAATTTTAGTTTCTAATTTGATATTTAGCAACCGTCAAATTGAAATAATCTTCGTTTGAAAAGGGGAGGGATTGTAGTGTTTAACCCTGAGGTCAGCTGAAACGTAAACCAAGTTAACTAACCGTTCCACGAACGTAAACAGAACGTAGAACAGAAACGTATTGCGTATATACGCTGTGAGGGGATTGGCATGAGCTTGCGAATAGAGTAGCATGGTGGTTGGACCGATTTTATTGTCTGAGGTACTGTGACTGTTTTAAGTTTAGGTTTTGCAATTTTATTATGTTTGCACACGCAAATTTTATATTACTTATTACTAGTAGTAGTTTGGTCGGGTTAGTAGTAGCTGAAAAAGTACTAGTAATATGTTATCTGGTAGGCATTCCCACTCGCCAACAGGGCTGGTCAGACCAGACATTCTACTAGCCCTTACTGATTTCTACTAGCCTCGGGCGAGCGGGCGAGCGTTAGTTTCAAGCCCTGGTTTCATGCTTTGTGTTGTACATTACTGGTTGACCCGTTATTGTCTGCTTTCAGGGCTCTGGATGAAACCTCCATATCACGAGTAGCCAAATGCAAGCTGTACGAAAAATTCAAAGAGACGTCTAACCTGTTTCATAGGTAATTGTCACAGGCATTTCGATATATAGCATTAGGAGTGTACAGTGACAAATTTGTCATTATACGCTCCTGATAACATGTAGTATGTGTGAAAATATATCATATGCATGTGCTGATAGTGCTGCTGCTGTCTCATGGGTATATGTATAAAACGTGATATTGATTGAACACTGGCACTTGCAAGCGATAAGTATGAACGATGATGATCGAACATCTGACTGCGATGTTTTGTTTTAAGGTAATGTTTCCTTACTGTAAATAGGTGCAAAGTGTTGGACGAAGTGTTGGGAAGTGTTAATGCATGGTTTGATATTTGATTCTCATACATAAACACAGACAGTATAATTACGGTGAGGAGCTTGCAAGCTCATGTTGACATATCTGTTACAAATGTACTGTCTTTAAATTAATAAATAAATAAAATTATAACTTGTGTTTTTCTAGGATGGACCTCCTAGGAGCAGAATGCTACTACAAGGCTAAACAAACGGCTACCTTGTACCAGCAGGCGAAGGCACAACTTTTCAAGTTGTTTTTGAACCGGGGAATGGGAACGTGGATATGCAAACCTATGGAAGAGAAGTTATTCTAAAAGAAACTTCTCATGTATCTCATTGGTTAGAGTTTGAGGAGGTATTTAGTGCTATTAGTAATTATACTTCATTGTAAAATGCCATTTTTTACGAGTATATTTCGTTGAATTTGAAATTAAAATTTTCAGTTATGATAGTTATTGTATTTCAGTTTTAAAATGAAAGTAGAATATGAATGTAATTATGTAAAATCATGTAAAGTTGGTTTATAACTTTACTGTGATCAATTTATGTAAATTTGCAATTATTAGTGGTGATAGGGGCCTATCACTAATTCCATTAACCCTTGTACTAAACGCTCACAGAACGCATGCACACAGGCACACCACGCACACACATAAACAAACAAACATTAACACCACGCACGCAAACATTAATATATGGCTAGAATATACTGCTATCACCAGTGGCGTACGCAGGATTTTCGAAAGAGGGATGTTAGGAGCACGCGAAGGGGGGCGGTGTTCTGGGGAGATTTGGAGAATTTTTGTTGAATAGCATGCGTTTTCTGCGCCGAGCTCGAGGGGTCCGTGACCCTGGACCCCCCCTCCCTGTACAGCCGACAGAAACTGTAGACTCTGATACGTGTGTGGATTGACAACTGACGGTAAGGTCCGGGTAGATTCATGATTCATAAGCTGCTAACGCAAATATTTTGCGTAAATCTTGTGTGTGTACCAGATCGAAGTTCTGTAAGTTGCGATTTATCAACGCAGTTACTTTAGTTAATTTGCGTACGATTTGTTACGCAAAGCGAGCCGTTTTAGGTGCATTCTCAAGCTATAAATTTACGTAAATCTGTGCGTAGGGAGTGTTGTAATGGTGTACAGAGGGAGAGAGAGTAGAGAGAGAATGAGGAGAGAGAGAGAGAGAGCTGTGCGTCGGCGTTGCGTGCGTCGCTGAGTGCGTGCGTGCGGCGTGGTAGTGTGTGTGTTGTCGTGGTGTGATGTGAGAAAGAGAGATGGGGGTGTGCGTGTTGTGTTGTGTTTCGTTTGTGTAGATGACAGAGAAGAGAGAGAGAGAGAGAGAGAGAGAGAGAGAGAGAGAGAGAGAGAGCGCGCGAGCGAGAGAGAGAGAGAGAGAGAGAGAGAGAGAGAGAGAGAGCGCGAGAGAAACAGAGAAGTGTGTGCGCGCGCGCGCGTGTGTGTGTGTGAGAGAGAGAGAGAGAGAGAGAGAGAGAGAGAGAGAGAGAGCGCGAGAGAAACAGAGAGGTGTGTGCGCGCGCGCGCGTGTGTGTGCGTGTGTGAGAGAGAGAGAGAGAGAGAGAGAGCTGTGCGTGATTGTGCTGTGCTGTGCTGTGTGTGTGTGTGCGTGCGTGCGTGCGTGCGTGTGCGTGCGTGAGAGAGAGAGAGAGAGAGAGAGGTGTGTGTGTGCTGTGTGTGTTTGTTTAGTGAATCAAAGTACTTATCCATACTACGTACACTACAGACAGTCGACAAACGTGCATAGGCCTACACTAGCTATTATAAAAAGCTGCGTTTGATAGCTAGGGTAGATGCAGTAAAATCAGTGAAATTTCTGAAATCTCACGATGTAAAATAACTCAAGTCTATGAACATAATATGTGTTGCGTGCAGTCCAATTCTGCCCAATCTACGAATCTGCCGACTGTGTGGCAGCCTCATTGAACTGTAAGGGCCGGACACACCAGGCGATGCCATCGGCCGATGGCATCGGCGTGAAAATCGCCTGGTGTGTCCACTCAATCGCCGCCGATTTCATCGCTCAATGCCATCGGCCGATGCCATCGCACAGATCAAAACGTTTTGATATTATCGCCCGATGCCATCGCCTGGTGTGTCCACGACTGCCCGATGCCATCGGGCGATTGTACAATTCATCAGCCAATCAGAGTTCATCAGCCAAGCGCACTGCGCACGCAAGAATCGTGCGATGCCATCGCCCGATGCCATCGCCTGGTGTGTCCACGACTGCGCGATGCCATCGCCCGATGCCATCGCCCGATGCCATCGGCCGATGCCATCGCCCGATGCAATCGCCTGGTGTGTCCGGCCCTGTAGCACCTAAAACCCACGCTGATAAACCTGTCTGGTAAATCGGGATCCTCTTACTTCTTCTTCTTCCTTCTTTCTTTTTTTCTCTTTTTTTGAATCTCTGGGGGGGTATTTGTACAGGCCATCCCCCCTCCTTCAAGAGCAGCGGGGATGCATCCCCCCATCCCCCCCGGGATTTACGCCCGTGTTAGTGACTGCGGAGCGCGGCGCATAGCGCAGCACGGAGCGACGCGGGGTGCTCGAGGGGGTGTCCCCCCTCGAGTTTGAAAGAAAAATGAAAATAACGCATAAAAATACCGCATTTCCTTGCACATTTTTCTGTATTATATCATATTTCACTTGTTGTTGTTTCATTAACAATTTTATAACAATAATTGTATTTTCCCTCTTTCTCTCCCTCCTCTCTCTCACACACACACACACACTCTGTCTCTCTCTCTCTCTCTCTCTCTCTCTCTCTCTCTCTCTCTCTCTCTCCCTTTTCTCCTCTCCTCTTCTTTTCTTTTTTTGCCTCATGGATACTGTATATAAATAATACGTGAGATATCTTTATTGAGAAACAGCAGGCACTTGCCAATGCGATTAAGTAGAACGATGATGAATCTGAACATTCTGCACGTGCGAGGTTTCTCGTCTTTCAAACGGTTAATTGTTTTCCTTTACTGTTTAAATAGGTTAGCATAAGTGTGTGGACGACTGAGTTGTGATATTTGATTCTCATAGCATACAAGGCATCATGACCAGTATAATTTACGTGTGAGAGGAGCTTTTAGCCAAGCTCAATCGTTGACATATCTGTTACACAATGTACTGGTCTTAAATCTATAATAACATAAAATTTATAAACCTTGTTTTTCTAGGATGGACCTCCAAGGAAGCAGATGCTACCTAACATGTAACACAGCGTAGAGGACTAAACTAAAAACGGCTACCTTGTCACCAGCAGGCGAAGCACAGACTATTTCAAGAGTTGTTCTTATAGAAAACGGCAGCAACTGGGTACGGGATATTCAAACCTAATGTGAAGCACGGAAGTTATTCTAAAAGAAACTTCTCTATCGTATCGTCATTGGTTATGAGTTGAGGAGGTATTTTAGTGCTATTAAGTAATGTTATCCATTGGTAAAATTACCATTTTTTTACGAGTAATATTTCGTGTGAATTTGAATAATCTTAAAAATTTTCAGTTTATGATATTATTGTGAATTTCAGTTTTAAAATGAAAGTAGATGAATGTAATTATGTAATCACTCAATTGTAAAAAACTTGGTTTGATAAACTTTACTGGTGATCAATATATGTAAAATTTAGCAAATTATTTATGTGGTGTACGTAAGAGTGGCACCTAATTCATGCTATAATCCTCCATTAACCCTTAGTACTAAAACGCTCACAAGAATGTCATGCACACAGGCAACACCAGAACGGTCAATCACATTAGTCCATTCCTACCATTCCTCAAACCTTCATTTACAGCAATACTACATGAAATCATAAATATGCAAACGACAGGATAAAAAAAGTTGGAGTATATCAAAAATCTACATTAAACAAGACAAATACGAGCAAACAGATGCACAAAACATTATAATATTATCCTAGAATATACCTGATCACATTACTGTCCACAATGAAATAGCTATGATACATGTCTTGTGATAAATGACCTTATGATTATGATAATCCAGCTCCACCCGTTTATTCATGACCAGCGCTTTGCAGTGCAATCATTGATCTCTATTATTTACATACTAGTGACTTTTTATGCGTTCATATATGCGACATATGCAGATGCAATGTCTTTGTAGAATCTCGCATGAGAAAATATTTATCGCTGCCCGTGCCGTCCGGTCGGTCGCCTACCGTTCCCCGTCTCTCCCCCGTTCCGTCCGAGTTAACCGTCATCCACGAACTAGGTTCGGCGGCCAAAAATCCTTAACCTCGCGATGCGACCGTACGTCAAACGATATTCGGGTTATTGATGGGGGATTGTCAACAGAAAGATGGCTTGGAATGCTCGAAGCTTGCGGTCAATTCAGAGTAAATGTGCAAGAGGATGTTAAAGTAAGAGAGGGAGGAACTATGTATTACAAACCATCCTAATAAACTTTATAGTGTGATAAGGGAGTGCAAATGTCCAGAATGCGGACACAAATCTAAACGGCGTCTATCTACTGGCTCTAGATTGAATAGTCACGTGTAAATATAGACATTCCATGTGTAAGGAAATAGCCATCACTTTGTGCCGAAAATTAGAGGAGGTCACAGGTCAATAATTAAGGTCAGTGGTAGGTCAACTAGGGCAGAATTTTTAGACATTTCTGTGATGAGTAACACGTCTGCACGAGCGATTGAAAAACTATCTTATTTTTGCGTCTTCTATAGAGTCGAGTGATGACCCTTAATAGCATTTTTATGAGCTTTTAAATTGGAAAGGGACGACATTTGAAATAATAGTCCTATCTATTCTTAGTGGTCTTGTGTGAATACAATACGTAAGAGTAAGTGTGCGGATAACCTTTCTGACTTTGACTCCTCAAGAAGGAGGGTATATAACCAATGGCATTTCTGTTGACTGTTAAATTGATACGGCACGAATTCTCTAGCCACAAATCAATTAGTTACATTTGTGTTCGTTATTGTAGCAAAATTAAAATGTAATGAAAATATACCAATTAGTGTTTCTGCTTTATACTTTTCAATGCTTTATATATCTCTTTATATGCCTCTAGATTTGCCGGGGTGAAGAACAGAGAGACAGCCAGTAATCTGAACTAGTAGCCTACTGGGGGAAAGTGTTAGACAACAGAAATTACCTAAATGTCTAGATTTCTGCAAATTTAACCATCTTTTAAATAAACATTTTTTAATCAAGGTGAGAGTTTGAGGATATATTTAGTAACGTTAGTTCTTCACTTTTAATTGTAATAAGAAATGGGCATTTTTTTTTTTTACAAATTTACCATACGAAGAATTCGTGACGTAAGTCCCTTTAAACAATAGGAGTGAAACTGCTTTTTTGCTATAGAGCCCCTCCCCCCACCCTCTCCACCTTCCCCCACCCTCGCCCCACCCCCTCCCCACCAACCTCCCCCTACCCTCG